CTGCCAAGGCAGGGAGCTTCATTCAACCAGGTATGTCAGCCTTGAGCACATGGGCACGAACAAGCTGTATCTTAGAACAGTAAGTGTGCATGAACTTTACATCTTGGAACATAAAATATACTTGTGCTTTAATAAAAAAAACATTTTCTATTGCCAGGTGTGGCAGGGCACGCCTGTAATCACAGAACTCGGGAGGCTGAGACTAGCCTGGGCTACAAAGTGAGCTCAAGGCCAGCCTGAACTACATAGTGAGACCCTGTCTCAAAAAGACAAAAATATTTTCTTCTAAATGTAAGCAACACTCCAAGGTTGACTTGTGTTTAGCTCTGACACTCCCCCTCAACAAGAATGAGCGCTCAGAGGGTGTATGGGGTCCCCAGTGGTCTGAGTTCCTCCTCTTCAATGCGCACTGTAGTCCTGTAGCATTTAACCATCTACTGAACTGCAACGTGTACCAGCCATTTCCTACCAGCAAAAATCCTTCCAGAAAAAATCCAACCAGGTCACTGACACATAGAACCCTCCACGTTCTTATTCGTGACTGAACGTACTCTACTTCCATGCCCCATCGCACTGGAAGACTGAGTGACTACCTTATTTTTCCCTGGGCAGTTTTTAAAAACTATTTAAAGCAATTTCAGAATCCAGTTCCACCTGTCAGAAAATATACAGGTTTGGGACTCTGGCAGAGATTTTTCAAAGGCCAGCTTCCTCGTGGAGGTCAAGGGCATTGCATTTCTACATGAGCTATCTAGTGTACTCCCTGAACTATTGGATTCTTACTTTACCTTGATGTTTAACAGTCACACATTAGGATATTTCTCTAGTTGGTTGGAGGGCTGGCTAATAAAAGTTTTAGGAGCATTTCCTTCTGTTATCGGTGTGCATTCTTTTGTGTTATAGGACCAAGGAGCTTCCAGTTGTGTAAAGAAAGTATCCCTGGACAGGTGAATGGCTGAGATACTTCAGGAAAAACAGAACTCCATCAGGAAGTGGTATCACAGAAGGAGAAACTGTATCAAAAAGGAAGATTTGCTGGGGATTTAGTTCAGTGTCTTAAGCACCTGCCCGGCAAGTTCGAGGTCCTGAATTCGATTCCTGGTATTAAAAAAAAAAAAAAAAAAAAGGGAGATTCCAGGAGACAGGCAGAGACAAGTCTCCAGGAAAATATATATCACAAGGAGTCTCGGGTCTCTGGAAGCAGCGCTGGCTACAGCAACAAGAAGATGAAACTGGCATGGAGATATCATGTCATGGAGACATCAAGAAGTGTTTATCTCTTGCCATTTATGCCTTAAAAGAGTCTTAGTCTCTCAGTCTCTCGGTGTCTCTCAGTGAGTCTCTCTCTCTCTCTCTGTCTCTCTCTCTCTTTCTCTCTTTCTGGATGTAAGGGGAAATCTTACCTATAATAGGGGCAATTTTACCTATTATGTATTAGCCAATAAAATAGTAATTCATGGGACCCCAAAGAATAGACATTGGCAACCCAGGGCAGCAAATACACGGTATGCAAGTGGCTTCTTTCCGGGTGCTTATTATACAAAAACTGCAAGCTACTGACTGCATCACAAACAAGCAACCCAGGAGAAGGGTCCATGCAAGTCTCAGTGATGCTGGGAGCCACATAAGAAGAGCCTGCTGGGGAGAGGGGTGCTTAGGACAAGTGAACCCCACAAAGGGTCATTTCTCTCCCCTACTCCCAGCTGCCCACTCCACACTCACCACTGGCCAGCGGCCCAGACCAAGTTCCAGGAGGGAAGCCTCATTACTCTAATGGGTCCCTTTGCCCTCAAACTGGAATTTAAACTGCCAAAATAACTACATACTTATGACAGTTCATTTAAGCCTCAGTGAAACTGACATCCTGGGAGAGGGGCAGGGCAGGGGCTGCAGGTTCTGGGTTCTGCTTCGCCACCCTCGGGTCTGCACCCTTCCTATTTCTATGTAACTTGAAATGAGAAGGAACAAGAGGAATCTTTTCACAACCTGATTTAAGAGAAGGGTACACTCATGCTGTTTCCAACTCATGTGAATCTGATAAAGAAATGGCTTCATGTTTACTTCCTTCCGAAGTCAGATTTTACATCATACACATAATCCTTGAATTTTTAACCTGTCTGTCTCACTTCATATAAATCACGTGCATTGTGAGAACTGAATTTACATCACCAGAAATGATTATTCACATTTCCAAAAGGGTCACTTTTTAGTTTCTTCCAGTAAGTGATTCTCCTATTTTGTTCACAACATGGTTTAAAAGTCACATCATTTTTTCAGAAGCACAAGGACAGCTTAAGTCATAGTCCACTTGCATTCTTATTAAAGGCATCTCTAAGGCCCCTCAACTGTCACCTTATCCATCTCCAAAGTCATTTCCCTAAAGGACAAATAAAAGAACAAGGACAACAAAGTCCCTGTTTTTCCTTCATCACCTTGGCTAATCTTTCAATAGCAAATTCTTCCTAGGAAGATTTTAGGCACACTGAGGTTTCAGAAGCATACCAGGCCTAGCATTGTTTTCCAAGGTAGAAAGTTTTTAAGCAGGGGAAAGACAAATTAGTGTACATAGTTGATGTAAGCAGAATAATCCAGATGCAAACAGGCCTCCAAGTCAGCCTCAGCAGACTGAGATAAGTAACCAGGCTTGCTGATATGGAGGAAACCAGACATCCATGTTCTGTATAGAACACCAGGAAGCAAGGAGCAAGCATTTTCCCTTTTCCTAGCAAAACAGTCTGGTAAGCAACAGCCAGGAAACCAGAAAACAGTAGGGAAGAGGGAGGACCACAGAGTACCCCTGAACAATGAGGGCTGAGCACCAGTGCTGCTGGCTGGTTCTTTCCAGAACATCAGCAGCAGATGACAGGTGCTGATGCTGCATGCATAGTGAGGGAAGGTGCCTGGAGGTGTTTTCACATGCACTAGCTTGTGCTTCCTCCATCTGTTGTGACATTGTTTTTTAGACTTTTTTATTTTTTTTATTTTTATTTTTTTTTGAGATAAGGTCTGGCTAAACCACTCAGCTGCCCAGCCTGGGCCCAAATTTGTGATCCTCCTGCCTTAGCCTCCCAGAGCGCTGGGATTACAGGCATGCTCACTATAGTCAGCTTGCAAACTCTTAAAAACTGAGCTCATCCCAGAGATTGTTTATGTGATTATATCAATTCACATTTACTGTACTAGAAATTAAAACAGAAAACACTGTCAGTATTAATTCACATAAAAAATAATAAATCTATTATACATTAACATAAGTATTACTTTTACCATTGCTTGCCAGGAGGAAAAACAAGAAAAAAAAAAAAAAAACTAGTGAAAAGAGTGGCACTGTGTCACATTTTTGCAAACCTCCTTAATGTCTGGCCTAACAGAAAATAATTCTACTGCATCGGATTTCTTGTGCTACTTTGGGTCATGTGGACTCAAGTTATGAGAATAAAAAAGACAAATAACATCTTTGTGTCATTACAAAAAATAGTCTTGACCTTGTATATCTGTAAAGTCTTGGGGACTCCTCAATGGTACCCAGGAAATGTTTTGAGAGTCCCCTGCCTTTTCAGTCAAGTGCAATTATTATCCCAGTTGAATAAACTGAGACAGAAAGATCAAAGCCCGGTGCTCCTGGACCAGCTCAGAGCAGGGGGACTGCAGAGGGCGATCACCCTTTGCTGCAAGGATGCAATGAGAGCAAAATAGCCAGTGGGACGTCTCCAGTGACTTATCCCAAGTGCTCAGTATCAGCATCTCCCTGGTACAGAGAAACTGGAGATCATTTCATTATGATACCAATGAGAAAAAGTAAAACCCTCACCAGGCACTGTCTGCACCTCCCAGGTCTTGCCCCAGCCCATGGGACTGAAGCAGCTCTTGGCTACTCAGAAACTCGGGCCTTTTTCTATCCTCCACTAGGCAAATGAGCTGGTATGCCCACTTGGGCACATTGTCACCTTGTTCCTTGAGAAACCTGAGCAAGCCAAGAGAGCTGCTCTATTATTTACAGGCTCCTTTTTGCATCACGCTGTACATATAAGCAAAATGGGCCTCTAGCGTGTGCAACCAGGCCTCTCCTGGAAACTTGCATCGCGGTCCCAGTGTCAGGTGCTGGACACTGGGCAGCTCTACCTGTCCATCAACCTGCTGACCCCACTCAGCGGCCCCCAGCTCTCTACAGTGCAGCTGGCGGCTGGCAAGTCAGTTTGCTTCCACAGGGGAAGTGGGACTGGTGCAGTTCACATCGCTGCACTCTCGGAACAGTGAGCCAGCAGAAGGCAGGCAAAAGAGGAGCTGGGGCTCCTGCTTCCTCCCCAGTGCAGGGCTGGACACCTCTCCCAGAGCAGCACGGTCACCGCCCTCCTAGTTCCACCTAGAGCCAGCCACCTTCCAAGCCAAACGCGCGCGCGAACACATACACACACACACACACACACACACACACACACACGCAATGCATTCTCCAACTGCCAAAGATATCTTTCAAAAAGTCAAGGTCAAAGTTCTTGTTAAAACACTCCCAAGGTTCTCCACTCGGTTGGTCTTCGAACAAAAACCGAAAACTCCTCACTCCAGTTTCTGAGGACCCGCGTCACCAGGGCCCGCCCCCTCGCCTGCCCCCAGCACGGGAGGTGTCTACCCAGGGGTCGTCGCTAATTTTTACGGCTGCAGCGCCCCTCGGGGACCTATGGCAGCTCGAACTCACCTACTGCCAAGAGACCTTCGCCGCTTCAAAAGTTGCCTCTCCTGTACCGGTCTGGTTGGAGACTTCAGAGCACCCCTGATTCTCCAGAGTTACTCATCCTCTACACATCCCCTTCCCAGCGCATCCCCCTAGACATCAGCTCCCCAGGAACAGGGGATCCCCAGGCACCCCGTGTCCTTCCCGGCGCCAGTACCCAGCACAGACTAAGCTCTCTGCAAACGTAGATCCAATGAATGAAGCCGCGGCGCCCGGGCAGCCGGGCTGAGGTCCTGCGGGTCACCCGCACCCTCCCGGCCGCACTCACCATGGTTGCCGGGCCGCCGCAGCCCCTGCCCGGCACCGACACGGGCACGCGAGGGCCGGAGCAGAGTGCAGGAGCCCGCGGGGCTGGCAGGTGAGCGCCCGCTCAGACCATGGCTGCTTCCCACAATGCCCCAAACGGAAAGTTCACTGACTCCTCCCCCGCCCCTCCCACTCCTCGTCCTCCCTACACCTCCACCCATCCCTCCGCTCCTCTTCCTCTTCCCCTTCCTCCTCCGCTCTCCCCAGCTCCCTCCCTCGCTCCGCTTCCTCCCTTCTCCTCCGCCGCGCCCCGCCCCGCGCTCCGCTGCCCGGCCACGCCCAGGCCACCTCCCCCGCCGCCACAGGTGCGCGGCCACCTGCGTGCGCTCGCCTCCGCCCCACCTGCGCGCTCCCGGCACCCGGGCCTCCAGCTGTGGCTTCCCACCTAGGGCGGCTGCCTGGAGCTGCCGCCACTCCAGCGCGTCCCGCGTTCCTCCACAGACGTCCGCGGCCCTAGCCAAGACACTTCCTGATGCACTTCTGGACTGGCCGGGGAGGGAGGAGCAGTTGGCACAGCCGCCGCCGTGCACAGTCCGTATTTTGCACTGTAAACTCTGCAAGCCCATAGTTTCACTGTAAACTCTGCAACACCAATAGTTTCAAGCTGCCTCCCCGCCACCCGTTTTTTAAATTATAATTTTGTTTTTAATTTCATTTTATTTATTTAGTCTTGGAGTCCTGGGAATGGGACTGAACGCAGAGCTTTTGCACTATGCCTGATTGATTTTTCCACCACCCCTCTTAAAGGTTCTCTCCTAAGCATGTGGTGTCCAAACGTGATTTTCTAGTTCCTCTCCTCCGCTTCATTTTCTAGGATATTAATCTGGGACGTTGGGCATCCCCAGAGCCCTAAGTTGTAGCCAGAGTTTTGAGTGCACAGTTAGGAGGGGCATGGACTGTTTTTGTCAGATAGCTAAAGAGAGAGCTCAAGGTTCCCATCATAAATACCATCTGCATTTATGCTGCGCGGGCCCTGCCAGGAGCACACAGCCACCTTCCTGCCTCCCAATGCTGACAGTGTCCTGTGGGATGACACACAGTAAGCTAGTAAATAAATCATTGCGAAGCAAATGGATGCTAAGAAGGAGACTCCAAGGGTAAGCTCAGAAACTGTAGTAATTTAACTGGGCAATCATGGAAGCTCCTCACCACCATCACCAAGTCGCAGAAGACTTGGGTGGGAGAAGCCATACTCTGACTCTGAATCTGAGGGGAACTAAAGATCCCAGAGAAAGCCCGTGTGGCTGGTGTTAAGAAACAAGAGGTCTGAGGGGTGACAGGGAGCCCCAGAAATGTGCCTTCTGGGCTACCACTGAACCAAGAGTAAGGAGGGCAACTTCTGAGGAGTTCCCAAAAGCCCAAGTCACACTCTGACAACTCTTTCAAACCAGGAGTGGGGTATCTGCTGGGACATTGGGAAAGGATTGGCTGATTAAACTCCAGACTATAGCCAGGAGGGCAAGGTGGATCATGAGGGTAATCCCAACTACTTGCAAGACTGAGTCAGGAAAATCACAACTTCAGGATCAGCCGGGGCAATGTAGGGAACCCTATCTTTGAGTAAATGAAAAGGGCTGGGCTGTAGCGCAGTGGCAGAGAGCTTACCTAGCATGTGCCGGGCCCTGGGTTCAATCCAAGGTACCGCAAAAGCAAACCAAAAGCTCACACAGGCTACAGGGTGGTTTTTCAGCCTGAAAGAGAAAGGAATTTTAGGAAGCTGCATTCTAAATTCTGCATTATGCATTATATCTCCAGGCTCACATGCACATGTACACACACACACACACACACACACACACACACACACACATCTTTGCTTTACCCAGCGTTCTAATCTTTGTGCCCCGCCCAGCTGTGTCATTCACCTTCCTGAGTCTGTGGCACGCACCCAGAGGGTTTGATAGCTAGCAGAAGAGAGATAGTATTTCTAACAGTGAGGTCTAAAGCTACACAAGTCTCAGAGATCTTGTCAGACAAAAAAACAGAAGAAACTCCCCTAACTGTGTGGTCTGCAGTAAAGAGAGTGAGATTAGAGAAAGAGGAAGTTTAACTTAAAAACAATTAGCATCCTTGCCGTATTTCTTGGCCTGGCTGACATGGGCAGTGGACACTCTCCTGCTTAGATTTTCTTCTTAAACAGTCTCCTGTGTAGTTGGGGCCCCTGGCAATCATCCTGCCTCAGCCCCCGAGTGGGTTCTTTCCTCCACACACTCACATCACACCCAAAGTCATCCCAAGAGAAAGGCCTGCTCTGGACTGCCCATTTCACACAGGTGATCATTCCTGTTCTCCAAACAAAACATCAGAAGAGAGGCACTGTGGGGATGACGGCCCAAGGCCCTGAGACAGCGAGCGCAGACCAAAGTAAGCCTGGACACAAAAACCCAAGACCCAGGCCAACGCAGTGTCTAAAAGGTGCTCGGCTCTCTCTGCAGAATAGCTTCCCCTTTCAGTTTGACTTCCCATCGGCACGCCTGGCTCCCTGTGGGGGCCGATGGTCAGGCCAACCTTGGGGAGGACCCGGAAAACTCTTATCCCAAGATGCTTCCCAGCAGCAGCAGCCATGACTTCATCTTGTCAAGGTGAAACTTTCAATTTCAGGCCCAGTGTTCCTTAGAAACTTTCCTTTCCTTTTCAAAACAAAGCATATTTATTCCAAGTGGAAGAAGACCATGATATATTTCTAGAAAATACTTACAGAAACTGTTCAGTTATAAAATGAGTTCATAGTAGATTTTGAAACTGTGTAAAAAGCATCCATTTTTAAAACTTCATTCTTAGTTTTGTCATCAAGAAACAACCACCATCATAGTTGGTATATTTCTTTTCAGGGCTGTGTTGCGTGGGCGTATGGGAAAGGAGAAGAGGAGGTTTTGGTTTTTATTCCTTTTAAACAGGAAAAAATAATAAAAACAATGATACAGAATTTCAAGACAAGCTAATGGGGATTAAAAATATAAGCATGAACAGTTCTTTTCAACGAACTAATAGAAATCAGTTGTGTAATTATCTTAGCTATTATATGTATATATTCTTTTCTCGTCCTCCTTTTCTCCTTTCTCCTATCCCAGTTGTTCAAAAAGTAAAGAAGTTTTCTTTAGAAAACAGAAAGTTTTCTTTAGATCCTCCTGCTGTGGTTCCAGTGTCTCCTCTGTGAGTCCCTCTTGTAGGCGTCCTGGGAGGCGGGGTCTGTGGGGATGTAATTAAGGCAGAAAGCTCTGCCTTATAAAAGGGCTGGAGGGAAACTGTTTAGACCAAACAACACGGGTCCCCTCCAGAGGATGCCGCCGTGAAGGACTGAGCCCTCATCAAACACCCAGACTCCTGGCGTCTGGATCCTGGCCTTGCAGCCTCAGAAACTGAGAACTACCTTTCTGTTCTCACTATGTAAACCAGTCCCAGGGAGTTGCTCACAGACACACGAATGGACTGAGACACCTACCACAGTTACTATTTTCATCTGAATGTTCTATTTTTTGCAGCACAATTACTGAACAAATATTTATTGAGGATCTATTCTGCACCAAGATGTGTTTTGCATTGGTCACAGAACCGTGAAAAAAGAAAATATTGCCCCTCTCCAAGTAAATGAACAGGGCGATTCAGGAGACACACATTAAACAGGCTGCACACACGAACGTGTAATTACCACAAATGCTGCAAAGGGATCAGACGCCACGTAAACCTGTAATAAGGAGATGCCAAGCAGACAGTCGTTTGTCTCCCCAGGGTCCATTCCCTCGCTTCCTGAATTTCTGTGTTTGGATCTGAGGACACGGCTCCCGGTATCATTTTTCTTCCAACAATGCTGCACTCTAAAAAGCCGTGTGCCTGGTAAAGGAACCCAAACCAAGGAGACTAAGTCCTCGGAAAGCTGCTGGAACCCTGTTTGGGAAGCACACCCTCTCTTCCTCCTGGGTCTGAATGTGCAGAAGACTGAAGCAGCTGTAGCCAGTTTAGCTCCATGAGGACGAGTTTCTCTGAGGAAACAAATCAAGACGGTCAGAAAAATGGGTGGAGAAAAGAAGTGAGTCCTGCGGACGCCTTGAAGGCCTAGGTCAGGCCTGAAGCCAAACTCAAGCTTTTCGGTACCTGAACACTGCAGCATGGGTTGTCCCCAGGGCCCAAATGATTCTAGACACAGGCAGGTCAGCAAACATTTCCCCAGGGTGGGGTCATGTATGCCAAGACCCGGAGCATGAGTAGGGGAGAGCTGAGCCTGGGGAAGAGTTCTGGGTCACAGAGATGGACGAAGCGGAAATGGGTGGCACATCCCTAACACACGGCATCAAGAGAGCCGGTCAGGGGGCCAGGGATGTAGCTTAGTGGCACAGCACCTGCCTGGCAAGCACAAGGTCGTAAGTTCAATTTCTGGCACCAAAGAGAAAGTGAGAGAGAGCGCCAGAGTCCTAGTCAGCAAGTCCTTGCCTGTGCCTAGCTCTTGAAGTATTTTCCCCTATTTTTCCTCTAGCAATTTCAAAATTTCAGCTCTTACTTACGAGTTTCAGGTCACTGATCCATTTCAAGTTTATTTTTGTGCAGGGTGAGGGATAGGGGTCTATCTTCAGTCTTCTACAGGTGGTAGTTTCACTGCCACCATGGGTAAAGAGGCATCTTTTCTTCAATCTATGCCTTTGGCCCTTATGTCAAGCATCACATGGTTGGAGCCAAGCATAGTGGTGCACGCCTGTAATCTCAGGAGGGAGGCTGAGGCAAAGTCTCACTGTGAGTTCAAAGGCAGCCTGCACTACAGCGAGACAGAGCTTGCCTTATTAAAAAAAAAAAAGGATCAGATGACTGTAGGTGCATAGGTTACTTCTATGTCCTGTATTCTCTTCCACTGGTCTGTATGTCTATTTTAATGCCAGTTCCATGCAATTTTTGATACTACAGTTTTGTAGTATATTTTGAAATCAAATATTGTAATGCCTCCAGCATTACTTTTTCTCAAGGTTGCTTTTTGGCTGTTCTTGTCTTTTGTGTTTCCATATGAGTTTTAAGAGCTTTTTTCCCCCTAGTTCTTTGAAGAGCAGCATTGATATTTTGATCCATACACTACTTTTGGTAATCTGGCCGTTTAAACAATACTCATTCTGCCAGT